AACGCTACTTTGGGTTATGACATCTCCGCCGTGGAGTCCCGGCAACGAAGCGATGAGTCTCGGCGGCGAAGCGATGAGTCTTGGCGGAGAAGCCATGAGATGGAGAAAGAAGGCGGCGATCGGAGGTGGCGTCGGGTTATGATGAAATCGGTGGAGGTATTGGATGTTGTACCTTTCGACAAGAATTGAGGAAGAAATCGAATGATTCTGAGATTGATTCGGTTTCTCGATTTGTTTATCTTCTTCGTCTTCTTGCGGTTTCTTGGTTTGATCGTCGCCATTAGAGCCGTCGTCGGAAATATCAGAGATTGTAACCATCGCCGTGTGAAGTGAGTAAAGCAGAGAATTAACGGGATGCGAGCTTAATTCAACATTTTTGAAGAAAAGGAAACATTATTGTGTATTTATAACGAAAAAACAAAAATTCATTTTTGACGTTTAAAAAAAAACATAATTTCATTTTATAGACTAAATATTCGCAGTCATTTCACAAATTTATTCACTAAATCAACAAAAATGTCCTTAATTTTTGTTGAGTCCAAAAATGCAATTTGTCCCAAATCATTTTTCTTATTCTTAAGTATAAAATAAATTAATAAAAACCTCGATATAATGTATGAAATAAACATGGACAATTGCAAAAATGCCATTTTTTATGTGCACATTTGTAAGAATGTCACAAATTATAGATTTATAAAGCATATATCTTAAAATTCTAAACCCTAAAAAATATTTTGATTTCTAAAACCCCGTAAACACTCAAAATTAAACTCTAATACAACATAGTTAACCCAAACATAATTATATAATGAAAAAAATAATTTTGAAAAAATTTTATTTTTGCAAATATTTTGAAAAAATTGTATTTTTGAAAAATGGTATTTGAAAAGTGACATTTTTATTAATTTCTCAAAAAATATAAATGTGGATTTGCTTGCATGGAATGTTTGTTCTCCTACCACTATTTTCTCCTTCTATTTCTTATTTGGTTAGTGCAGATGTGATTGTTTTCGTTTGATAATAAATCTTTTTGAAAGAAAAAAAAAACTTAACATTTAGTAATTTCACAATGAAAAACATTACTTGATAACATTATATCATTGTTGACCAAAAAAAAAGATAACATTATATTACTATCATATTAATGATGATTTTTATTTAGAAATATTAAAATATGGCTAGGATCATTAAACATTAGAATTACGATGTCATCTAGTTAAATATCCACAACCACGATGATGATAGTTAGCAAGTCTCTTGTATGAGACCATTGTTTTATGAGAAATTTCAGAAAATGTCATTTTTCAAGTACTATTTTACAAAAATGTTACACTTTTAAAATTTTTACAAAAATATCATTTTTTCAAA